CCGCTGATCGCCGCTGGGGGAACGACGGTGATCAGGTAAGTAACTCAGACCGTTAGGACGGTCCTGAACCGTCCTCGGTCCTTGAGGGGTTAAAGTTGTGTTCGTGTTTCTTTAAGCATCCTGGTAGTAATTCCTACCTATTGCTCTCTGAGGTCCCTTGTTGACCTTACAGTAGGAATGAAGGATCCTACAAGCTGCTTCTAGACTGCTCCTCTTAGCAGGCTGTATGAAAATCCCAATAAAGTCACTATTAAAAATAAACACAAAGGGCAGATTGAGTTATTTTTATTTTCATCCCAAAATATTTAAAAATTAATCTGAAATGGTGAAAAGGCATTTCACCATTTGTTCTATAAAAACTTTTTGTTCAGCATTTCACCATTTGTTCTAAAAAAAAAAAATAAGTAAGCAGAAACTACAAGAAAGTTACTCACTTTAAAACCTTTTTTCTTTCATGCGAATCGTCACACGACACCTGATGCTCAGCCAATCAGGAATTTGCGCATCCAATCAAGAGTAAAATTATATAAAATATCTGGACAAGGAGAGAAAAAAAATCACATCATAACCGTTGATTTCACTTAGAAGGTCACAATCCCCCTATGACATTTACACAGAGAAGGTGAAGTTTGAACAAACAAAAAACACATTTTAAAACAAAATATACTGAGCTATTGTTTCTTAAAGGAGCAATCTGGGCTGGGATATAGCCATTCTTTCTTTTTTTTTTTTTTTTTATATAAAAAAAGTGTATTCAAAAAAAGTAGGCAGAAATTACAAAACCAAAATAATGAAAATAAAAGAAAGTTACTCACGTTTAAAGTTCTTTTCTTTCGTCTAAATCTTCACACATAAAATCTCATGAAACCTGATCTTTGACCATGCTAGGAAGTAGTTTAACCAGTCAGGAGCCTCTCATTCTGGTCTGTTGGGTGAATTATGTGTCACACAGCCCTGCAGGTGATAAAATTCAGATAAGGACAATATGGTTTGAACCCTTCTCATACATCCTATACATTATTATTTTATTATTTATATAGCGCCATCACATTCCGTAGCGCTGTACATACATCCTAAGTGTCCCTATTTAGAAAGGGACAGTCCCCATTTTAGGCCCAAATCCCTCTGTCCCTCTTTTCTATCCAATTGTCTTTCTTTTCTAGGAGCTCCATATTAATGTGTATAGCAGAGCTGCACAGCAATAATACTCCCCCCAATGTGTCTTTAACACCTTAAGGACCTTGAACGTATCAGGTACGTCCTACAAAACAAGGTCGTTAACTTTGGGGAGCGTGGGTGGAGCCTGACCCAGTGGCGAGGGACATCGGCTCTGGATTAAGGTAAGTGACTGAAGGGGTTTTAACCCCTTCAGCGATGTTGGAAAACAGGTTTGTTTTCCTTGCAATGAAGAATCCCTTTAATTCTTATCTTTCGTATCAACAATGCCATCAAGGCATTAATTGCTCTTTTCTACATACTTGGATCCTATTATAGTATATGTGAAATGTATGTTTATGGTAACCAAATTTTATTTGGTTCCAGTTTTTGTCCTCACCGATAGAGAGACACTAAGTTTGAATTCAGTCTTAAAGAAACATTCTAAACACCAGAATCAGAGGCCCAGGTAAGTTGTCAAACAGTACTAAAATAGTTTGACTACTTACCAAAGGATGGCACCTGAAAACTCCTGGCCCCATACCCATTACAGAGAGCTCTAGTGGTTATGATGCGTGGAATGTTCCTGTATGAGAGTATACATCAAAAAACTAATTGACTGACAGTTTCCACCAACTCAAGTCTTTTTGGCTTGCAGGAGCCATGAACTCAGTGTTTTTTTATCTGGTTACATGCTTTGTGATAGTTTGAAATGACTAATCCTAATCTGTTAGCCAACTATGAAAATTACCAGACAGAAAAACATATGTGACAAACATTTTGATTAATATTTTCTCTATAGAATGGGGGCTCTCATTAGGTGTATTAGATGAAGTTATAATATAATAATGCCAGTGTCCCTTTAAATTATTTCTGACAGCACTATGCATTTAAGCAAATGAGCTATTCTAGAAATAAAACTAGCTACGAGTTTATTTATCAACCTCAGATTTGCAGTGGATTTGAAGACAACTTTACCAAATTATGGCTACACTTAGGTATGCTGTGACTAGAGTTGAGCGGACACCTGGATGTTCGGGTTCGGCCGAATTTCGAAAAAAAGTCTGTGTTCGGGATCGAATTTGACACCGAACCTCATTGAAGTCAATAGGGACCCGAACTTTTGGGCACTAAAATGCCTCTAAAAAAGTCCTGGAAAGGGCTAGAGATCTGCAAAAGGAAGTAAAATGGGGGTAAGAGTAGTAAAATAACATAAAATAAGCAGCTGCTTAGTAGATAACTCCCTAATTCCCACGGTATTAGGGAGCTATCTACCAAAAGGCTGAAAGACCTAAATTGGTCTTCCAGCCACATTTACTAATACTAAGTAAAGATTACTTAGTATTAGTACATTTTGCCCCTACTCGCTATACCGCGAGGGGCATGTCTAGTAAACAGTGAGCAGCCAATGCCTGCTCACTGTAACGGCGGGTGGGGCCCTAAAGTAAAATAAGGGGAGGACCTATTGTCCTCCCCCCCGGCCCCAATCCCTGAGCAGTGGGTGGGGGCCCTACATAACAATGAGGGGGACCTACTGTCCTCCCACCCGGCCCCCACCCCTGCACGGCGGTTGAGGGCCCTACGTAACAATGGGGGGGGGGGGGGAATTTACCCACGCTGTGTAAAATGACAGAGCACTCTGATTGGTTAGCTTGAGCTAACAGTGTGGGGGAAGGCTTATAAAGCCTTCCCCCACCCTGCAGAGCTCAGTCTGCGCGGAGGACTTATTTTTTATTTTTTTGTGTGTCGGTTATTATGGATTTTTATTCGGCTTTTTTGGGGGCTGAAAAAAGAAGATTTTAGAAGAAAGAAGACATCAAATGGTTATTAGTTTTTTGTTTTTTTTTACAGGTATCTAGCTTATGGACCCCCTCATTATTTTTAGGACAGGTAGAGGTTATTTTTTGGGGGGAGGAGGGACAACCGCTCAGGGGTGGGGGCTGGAGGGGCAGGACAATAGGTGTGTGTCCCCTTATTCTACTTTAGAGCCCCCACCCACCGCTCAGGGGTGGGGGCCGGGGGGAAGGACAGTAGGTCCCCCCTCACTGTTATGTAAGGCCCCACCTGCCGCGCAGGGGTGGGGTCCGGGGAGGAGGACAATAGCCCTCCCCCCCCCATTGCTATGTAGGGCCCCAACCGCCGGGCCGGGGGGAGGACAGTAGGTCCCCCCCCTCAATCTTATTTAGGGCTCCCGCCCGGGGGGGAAATCAGTAGGTCACTCAATCTTATTTATGGCCCCACCCACCGCACAGGGGTGGGGGCCGGGGGGAAGGACAGTAGGTGTGTGTCCGTCCCCCCCGTCATTCTTATTTTGGGCCCCCACCCACCGCTCAGGGGTGGGGGCCGGGGGGAGGACAGTAGGTGTCCCCCCCCCTCATTGTTATTTAGGGCCCCCTAACTGAGTACTGCCATTCCCATTATCCCTGCTCTGCACTAACTGAGTACTACCATTCCCATTATCCCTGCTCTGCACTAACTGAGTACGACCATTCCCATTATCCCTGCTCTGCACTAACTGAGTACTACCATTCCCATTATCCCTGCTCTGCACTAACTGAGTACTACCATTCTCATTATCCCTGCTCTGCACTAACTGAGTACTACCATTCCCATTATTCCTGCACTTACTGAGTACTACCATTTCCATTATCCCTGCACTAACTGAGTACTGCCATTCCCATTAACCCTGCTCTGCACTGAGTACTACCATTCCCATTATCCCTGCACTAACTGAGTACTACTATTCCCATTATCCCTGCTCTGCACTGAGTACTACCATTCTTATTATCCCTGCACTGACTGAGTACTACCATTCCCATTATCCCTGCTATGCACTGAGTACTACAATTCCCATTATCCCTGCACTAACTGAGTACTGCCATTCCCATTATCCCTGCTCTGCAATGACTACTACTATTCCCATTATCCCTGCACTGACTGAGTACTACCATTCCCATTATCCCTGCACTAACTGAGTACTGCCATTCCCATTATCCCTGCTATGCACTGAGTACTACAATTCCCATTATCCCTGCACTGACTGAATACTACCATTACCATTATCCCTGCACTAACTGAGTATTACCATTCCCATTATCCCTGCTCTGCACTGAGTACTACCATTCTCATTATCCCTGCACTGACTGAGTACTACCATTCCCATTATAACTGCTCTGCACTAACTGAGTACTACCATTCTCATTATCCCTGCCCTGACTGAGTACTACCATTTTCATTATCCCTGCTCTGCACTGAGTACTACCATTCTCATTATCCCTGTGTGGCAGTTAATATCTCTGTATCTGTGTGTATTTCTCGCCGCTCAGCAGTCAATGCGGCATCTTTGTATACTGCCCTACAGCCTTTCAAAACGCGCCATTAAATCGCTGAACACCGAACACCAACCCGAACATACACTGAAATATCTGTGTTCGGGTCCGGGGTCCAAAAACCGTAATGTTCGGTATGAACCCGAACTTTGCAGTTCGGGTTCTCTCAACTCTAGCTGGATACCTTTTTACAAACCAATGGTTTCTGATTAAATTTTGCCTAGGTTGCTGCTTCCTTTCTGCACTACTTCTCCAGTGAGGCAGTAGCTCAGATAAAACACTCCAAAATGGATTGCGTCTTTAAGGGGTGGGGTGGGGCATCAGTGCACTCCTGGTACCTTAACCACTGCAATGTTCTGTATTTGTTATGGTGCTTGGACTGTTCCTTTACCATTAAGGGAAAACTTTTGTACATTAGAGGCGGTATTTAAGTTTTTGTCTTACAAATTACGCAGCTCAAACATAGTGTACATTCTGTTTTTAAGTAGGTAGTAACATACCTGCATCCTGGGTCCACTATAAACGTTTAATTTCTGAGAAGGCCTGTTTGTAAAATGATGAAAAGCCATCACATATGTTGGAAATCTCTTTGGAACGTTTTTTCAAAAGTGCCTCGTTTTGGTGCCACAAACATTCTGTCCTTGCGCTCTCCATCTTTGGTGGCTTCTTCTTATCACCAGCAGAGCCAATGTGTGTGTCCAAAGTCTTGGGCTTTGTGCCACTTGGGCTTCTGCTCCATAAATCAAGGCCTGCTTTCTTTCCACTGTGGTGACATGTTTGTGCAATGTTTCCATGTCTTTTCTCCACCTCTGGGACAGTCTTACTTCCACTGCGGCAACATTTTTCCTCATAATTTACTGGTTTCCTGCCCCTCACAACTGACACAACTTGCCTGCTGGTGTGGAAAGATGTACCCACAATATTTCCAGATTTTCTCCTCCCCAACTCCGGGACAGCTTCCCTTTCACTGCAGAGTGATGTTCTTGCAATATTTCTTCTGTTCCCCACCTCTGGGATGCTTTTTCCGGGACTTTGGTGACATGTTTTGGAAACATCAGCTGACTTAATTGTCTGTGTCTGGTACTGCATCATTGTTTGTTGTAAGGGGGGCAGCTTCCGTTCGTACTGCTCTGAGTGCTGCTGTTGTACACTTTTGCTGATTTCATGCCCTGCTGGTTTGTCTCCATAAAGATACTTATCCAGGGCTTGATTCATGGTCTTAAATGTCAATAGATGACTATAACGCTCCCATGTATATTGTGTGGGGAATATTCTAACAAAACCGCCTCTCCTCTCTTCCTCTTGGTCATTAACCCATTGAAAGTTCTCCTCATCAAATTGTCTGCTCTTGCTCTGTCCTACTGTGTTATTTGATGTTATGCCTCCTGCTTTGTTTTTTTGCTGGGGATTCTTACATTCCACACCGACTAGGGTAAGTGTGTCTGCCATCAAGTTGCTCTTGATTTTTAAATTGAGGACATCATCACAACCAAGAGATGGAGACAAGTTAATCTCCAGAAGCCATGGTTTTAAGTTTTCATCAATTATAACATCAAATCCATAGAGCTCAAAACAATTTCTTTTGTGAGCAAGGTTCATTTTACATGATAAGGCAATAGATCCTTCTGCTGATATAATTGCCTTTATGACAAGGTCCTCGATTTTGGACATGAGCGTTGCTGTGTCTTTTCCATTGTTCTTCAAATAACGTAACATAGCGCTCATAGTCCACTGGCTGCCATAGTCATCCATATTTGGGATATGACATCTCACAAAAGATGAGCTCTTCTTGTTTATGCTGTAGTTGGTCAGGTGCATAAACTTGTTACTCATGGTCTTTTCTTTTAGTTGATATTTTGCTGTAGCAAACCTTGTGATACCTTCCTGGTACAGATAAATTACTAAGGGATCATAACTTGTGACCAGTACGTAGAGGCGGAGATCAAATTTGAAGCCATTGATGAGAAGGGGATTACTGATATATTTGGAAACCACAACCCTATCTTCCTTGCTTATCTGAGATAGGGAATCAATAAGTTTTATTCCACGGCCTTCACAGGAAGCAACTGGTTTTACAATCCAAGTACCTCGATCTTTTAATATAGCTCTGGAGAAGTTCTGGTACTCTGTAGGGAGCACATAGGTCTCAGGCAGGAAGTCAAATCTCTGGTTACTTTGTTTCTGCTGTAGCTTTCGAAGATTTTTGTACAGTAGATCCTTCTGGCCTAAAATGCCAGATTTGGGGAAGTGATTGATTCGCTGAAACCCAGAAAGATTTTTTAAGACACTCTGGTTTTGGAAGGGCCCTGTCCACATCACATTGAAATATTGGCTGCTAGATTCAACCTCCTGGAACCCATGTGCGGACAGAATGTTGCGGACCAGGCGACTTTTTCCACCTCCCATGTTATAAGAAAGGTGGCAACGTTCCCCCACCTCGTGTAGAGGTGACTCTCCAGTGAAAGCTTCTGCTCGAAATCTTACAATTGGAGTTTGGCTAGAACTCCCAGTCCACAGGATGCAGGACTCATCCTTCCAGTGCTCCATTTCCTGGCACTCAGAAGGGTCTCTGTTTTGATTCTGCTTTTTATCCATCTTAAGTTTGACAGATATCAGAATATGTGTAATATGTAATAAGAAAACTGCTGCTGCTCTGTAAGCTTTCTGCTCTGTCTCTGGCTTTACAGTGCAGTGATTAAGTGGAGCAGTTGTAGGACTTTCATTGAGAGGGTGATTGTGATGTCAGTGCTGCATTGTTTAGGAGGGAGCAGCTTACCTGAAGGGGAGGCTACTGGATGACATGTAGGAGTTTATTTACACAGATTTGGACGGTTTTCCCAAAGAGCATTTAGTTCACAATGGGACTCCTTTTTTTTTTTTGGTTCCCCCTTTTTTTTCCTTGGATCTCCACTCCTACTATCAGAATTTAAATAGAAACTATTCAGTTTTAATTGCCTTAAGGTGTATCCATCATTTTATTTCTAAATGCCATACTTTAACTTGGATTGGAATTCATGGTAATTCAATTATCAGCTATATATATATATATATATACAGACAGACAGATACACACTCTCTCACTCTCTCTGATCTAATGTCCATACATTTAACCCCTTAAATCCGGAGGGCGTACTATTACGCCCTGCAGGAGCCGGCTCTAAACGCCGGCGGGCGTAATAGTACGCCCTCACTTTAATGGCCGCCCACGTGGCCGGCGCTAATCGCCCGCTGCAGATCGCGGTCGGGGGGTTGCCTGGCCCCCCAGGCAACCCCCCCTGTGGCCGGTGACCGCGATCTGCAGTCTCTGATCGCAGTGACAGGCTGTCACTGCGATCAGTTTTTTAACGTGTGTCAGCCGATTTCAAATCGGCTGACACACGTGGCCGGCGGCTTTCTGCAATGCAGATCGCGGTCGGGGGACTTACCTGGCCCCCCAGGCAGTCCCCCTGGGGTCAGTGACCGCGATCTGCTAACTCTGAGATCGCAGTGACAGGCTGTCACTGCGATCTCAGAGCGCTCTGATCGCAGTGACAGCCTGTCACTGCGATCAGTGTTACATGTGTCAGCCTATTGGCTGACACATGTAACTGGCACAAAGATCCCCCTGCAGATTGGAAGGGGGAGTGCTTGTACCACCCAGACACTCCCCCCTGTGGCCAATTACCCAATCTGCAGGAGGTGATCACAGTGACAGGCAGTCACTGTGATCACTGATCCTGTGTGTCAGCCAGTGATGTAAAATCACTGGCTGACACTGTCTCTGCCCCCTCTCCTGTAAAAAAAATAAAATATTAGTTTAAAAAAAAAAAATTACAGTTACATATAAAATATACTTAGATCATATATATTATATATATATGATCTAAGTATATATATATATATATATATATATATATATATATATATATACACACACACACACACACATTTACACATACACGAAGTGTATTTAAATATTAATATATATAATTATTTATATATATATTACTATCAAATTACACGTAGACTAATACTGATTAAATATATATATATATAATTATTGTTATATATATATATTTATATATAATATAAAAAAATGTAAATACGTAAAAAAAATAAAATTAAAAAAATAATTAAAAATAAATAATAAAAAAATATATAGATGTTTGTTATTTCGTTCTAACTGTATTGTGATATTAATATATATATATTTATATCAAAATACACGTAGAACGAAATAATATATATATCTATATACATAAATATATACATATATATCACTAAATATATACACCTATATATAAATAAAAATATTTTAAAAAATTATATATATATATATATATGTATATATACACATATGTGTATATATATACATATATTAATTCTACACATATATTTATGTAATATTTTTACATAATTAGGTATCCTAATTAATTACAATTAGCGGGACCTGACTGACAACCCATGCCAAAAGTATAGGGAATTTAATTTGCTAGCACTATATTTAACCCTATAACTTTCCAAGACACCATAAAACCTGTAAATGGGGGGTACTGTATTACTCAGGAGATTTCGCTGAACACAAATATTAGTATTTCAAAACAGTAAAATGTATTAAAACGATGATATCGCCAGTAAAAGTGAAGTTTTTTGCATTTTTCATGCACAAACAGCACTTACACGGACGATATTATTGTTGCAATACTTTTTACTGTTTTGAAACACAAATATTTGTGTTCAGCGAAGTCTCCCGAGTACAACAGTACCCCTCATGTACAGGTTTTATGGTGTTTTCAAAAGTTACAGCGTCAAATATAAGGCTTGTGTTTCATTTTTTCACATTAAAATTCGCCAGATTGGTTACGTTGCCTTTGAGACCCTATGGTAGCCCAAGAATGAAAATTACCCCTATGATGGCATACCATTTGCAATAGTAGACAACCCAAGGTATTGCAAATTGGGTATGTCCAGTCTTTTTTAGTAGCCACTTCGTCACAAACACTGGCCAAAATTGGCGTTTTTTGCATTTTTCACACACAAACAAATACTAACGCTAACTTTGGCCAGTGTTTATGACCAAATGGCTACTAAAAAAGACTGGACATACCCCATTTGCAATACCTTGGGTTGTTTACTATTGCAAATGGTATGCCATTATGGGTGTAAATTTCATTCCTGGGCTACTATACAGTCTCAAAGGCAACGTAACCAATCTGGCGAATTTCAATTTCAAATGTAACGTGCTGTATTTGACCCTGTAACTTCCCAAAACACCATAAAACCTGTACATAGGGGGTACTGTTTTACACGTGAGACTTTGCTGAATACAAATATGTGTATATTATTGCAGTAAAAGCAAACAGTATTATGACATTGACAGTTAAAATGTCATGTAGAACTAAAAAAATTACAATTTCTTATTTTCTACCATTTTTTTCATATTAAATTATGTTTCATAGCTAAATATTTGATATTAAATGAAAGCCCTGTTTCCCCTGAATAAAATGATATATAATAAGGGTGGGTGCATTTACTATGAAAGAGGTGAATTACGGTTGGACAGACATGTAGTGCAAATGCCAGGTTTTGTTTACATTTTGTTTTGTTCACAACGTGTACATTTGGCTCCGTCCTTAAGGGGTTAATAAAGCCTTCTCAGACACTGGATACATTGTATTTACTTGATAAGCTGCTACTAACTTGTATTTAGTAGCCCAAGACTTCTAACTATATCTAATTAGTTAGTTATTATTTTGTGTCTATGTACAGTACCAGATTTTTTCCATTTATTGGGAAGTTTGATCTTTATTGTATATCTAATAATGCTGGAACTACCTGAACTGACATTCCGCTGTGGTCAACAATTACATTTTCAGTGGGAAATTCTTAAGATTGGATACATTTTAAGATTATCTACAGCATTATTCTCCCCATTGGATGTATCTAGTTTCCATATTCTGCCTCCCAAATAAGCACACGTCCCAGTTGTTTAATTTAATTTCTTATCTTTCCTTTGGGTATTTTTCCACTTTAAATTTTATTTCCTAACAATATGTGCAATGTTGACCATGAAGAAGCACTACATTACAGCCAATCAGTATCAAGTTATCTGGTCTAGTTAAAGATGGCTTAACCCAGATTCATTGAAAGGAGTGCTCCCACTTGTCCACAGCCCCCAGAAGATGTTCGTCTCAATTAAGTTGTGATTGAGTCACTGTCTGTATAATGCTTTCCTATGTGGTTTCAGGTGACGGTGGATTTCCTCATGCATAGCAGTTTATTTAAAAAAAACTAAAACTGTAGGGTTAAGGGACCTGGGACTCTACAACCAGACCACTTCAATGAGCTGAAGTGGTCTGCGTGCCTAGAGTGTCCCTTTATAGTAAAGACAAAAAGGAATTAGGGACACACCTGGAACATGCATTTTGCAGGAATGGTGCTGCTGTACTGACCAAAATGCATACATAATACAGATAAAGGAACAGTGCACGCATAAAAATACATAGAATTATAGAATGTGACGGCAGATAAGAACCATTCGGCCCATCTAGTCTGCCCAATTTTCTAAATACTTTCATTAGTCCCTAGTCTTATCTTATAGTTAGGATAGCCTTATGCCTATCCCACGCATGCTTAAACTCCTTTACTGTGTTAACCTCTACCACTTCAGCTGGAAGGCTATTCCATGCATTCCATGCATCCACTACCCTCTCAGTAAAGTAATACTTCCTGATATTATTTTTAAACCTTTGTCCCTCTAATTTTTAAGGCTTCTAAAAATCGCATATCTCAGCAAACACATATGGGGATTCAGTTCCACCATATGACAAACAAGAGTGTGCAGAGGGAAAATGCATGTTATATGTTATTTATATTAATTTTAATTGTCCATTACAGATGTGTAAGTCAGGATCATGAATAAAGGAAAGCAAGATGTTAATTTTTAAGGATCCAAGTGCTTAAAAAGTATTCATTAGAAGAAAATGTTCTTTAAGTTATAACGGTGACTACAAATTCAGGTTTTGACCACACATTACTTTTTATATATGACCTTATTTTGTTCTATGAAATATATTTTGATCACAGTATTTACTTGGCAGATGCAGGTAAAAAAAGGAAACTACAGAAGAAAGACTAAAAAAAAACCAAAAAAAAAACCACAAAGCTCATCCATGGCTCAACAATAGCAGATTCAACCTTAGCTTGATTTTATGTCTAAAAGATCCATCCTGACCTCACAAAAATTGTGTATGTTTCTGTATGTTAAGACATTGCCAGATAGTCTCAAGCATTGTGAATTATGCAAATGATATTTTTCTTATTTACCTAAATAATTGATGTAAATAACAGTCAGCATAATTCTCACGTTATCAACTATTAAGAGTACAATTCAAATTTTATTGAACAAACCTCCTAATGATAACAGTATTTTTTTAAACATAAAAAACTTACAATGCACTGTTCCAAATAATTACGCACAGTAAGTTTCAAAACACTTTATAGGTTGTAAAGAACTGAAAATTGTCATTTGTTGTGTTTGCAGCATATTTACTAAAATCAAAAGCTAT